TCGCGCGCGCGCGCCACACACACACACACACACACACACACACACACACACACACACACACACGTATACATGATATACACACGCAGGCACGCACACAATATACACCACTACAAGTGAGCAATACAGATCGCTGCGGTATTGAAGCCGTCATTTTTGCCGTCTTTTCTGGCTGATTGACCGAGATCGACTTTGTCGAAGCGTTTGGGCAATCGTGTTATACGCGGAGATTATCCCGATGGATTGGAAGTCCTGACGATCGACAGTCGAGTGAATAGATCGATACCAAAACCCACGCTGGGAATTTTACGTTTATTTATCCCTATCCTGGCGAAAAAAAATCATGATAGCTATATTACGACGCTATAGGCTTGGTCTGTTATTGTTAAGTTGGCTACATAGAATACGTAGGATCGCTAGTTAGGCCTTGTCGAAGCTAGGGGGTATTCCCTTCGGCCCTTTCACCCTTCGAATGGCTGGCGGTGCGGCATACAGTCCGCTAAGGTAATTAAGTTCTGGCCGATGCGATGGGAGGAAGTCTCGAGAGCTTCAGAGAGCTTGTCCGTGGTTTCTCGAAATATATTCGACAGCTTCACAATTAAACTATTACAATTTTGTGCAAAAAAACCGCTAACCGCAAAATCGATGAATTTTCATGCCGCCAAAGCGTGAAATGAAATACGCGTAACTGAAAAAGTAAAGCGAGTTGTATACGAACGAAGAATAGGAGAGATACAAGCTGGAAATCTCATGACAGCAAATTGGAAGGCGGATCTTATTATCAAGTTTGGAATTAACATTGCATTATTCATTACCTCTGCGTGTTCGTTAGGAAAAATCAAGAAACCGAGTTCCCAAGACTCGCAGCGTTGAAAGCAAGGTCGGGTGACGATTGAAAGACGCCGATCTAGACGTCCGGACAAGAATGTTTCGATAAATGACTCAATCGGCAAATAACCATGATTCATGAAAGGAATTGACATGAGTCACGTCCGTGAGAAAGACTTCTGGAATAAGATTGGATTGAATCAACAACGTTATTTTTATTTTCTGCGAAATAGTTATCGCCTTCGCTTCCACTTCTCACATTGTTCGAAGACAAATTGTAAAAATTGTAAAAATTTTAAATTTATGCTGCTCAACAAATTATTATCTATTAGATTATTTATAGGCGAGTTATCGATTCCAAAAACGCGAAAAAAATTTCGCTATGTTATTACGACCGTAAAACTTTTATCGGACGAGTTATGACTTTATTAGACAAGTTGCATATACAAGTCTGCTTTAGGCACAGTAAACTATAGTGCTCATTTCCCGTTTCATCCGAC